AATAGAAGTATCTGGAATCTTGGAATATTCTGAACGTGACTTTTTTTTACAAAGAAGGTACGGTTTGTATGACGTAGATTTCGATTGGTTAATTAAACGTCATTAGTCTAATTAAGCAATTGACATAATCGAACTATGTCCAATTGGTCAATTGTCCAAATTGTCCAATCCAATCAAGACAATTGGAATAAATCCAATTCCAACACTATTGTATGTCGTTTTTAATTGTACCTTTTTATTTAATTAATAATGATCTGATTTTAATTGGTGTTTCATTGACGAAATTTGTGATTATTGTTAGAAAGATTAGTGTAACTATTCTATATAATGGTATTTCTTTTTTAAAAATAAAATCAAGTGTAGTTTGCTTAAAGTTATGAGTTAGTGCTTTGATCCATAATCTGACTAATTCGGATAGATCCGATAATTCGGATTGAATGCAGATATCCGTATCTGTAACACATAAATTCTAGAAAGCTAGTCTGAATTAGTAAGGTATCAATATTTGTCGATATCAAAATTAAATTCGCGATTTTAATTAGTCGGTCAATAATTTGCAGGTTGCACCCGCATAAAATCTGAATTTATTCAATTCGAATTATAATCCAGATACCAAAAATAATTCCGATCGAAACATTATTATGAGTGCTGATATACTGTACATACTGTACGTAGTGAATAACGATAAGCGTACGTAGCATAGTAACCAAGTTCAAAATTTTGCTAACGATTTATACTCCGTTTTATACATTTCCGGTAATGCCAAATTATGAAATCTTACAATAAGTATTAATCAAAGATTATAATTGTAATGACTTATCACAAAATATAATTGAAATCCGATGATAGATTTTTCCTAGATGGCACTCAGAAAATAAACTGAACACAAAATATAATTGAAAGCCAGCACTCATTTTCAGCTGATAAAACGTTACATAGTGTGATTCTCTTTATTATTATAAAAAAAAAAATTTTTATATGATAAATATAATTAAAAAAAGAAAAAAAGTAAGAAATAAAAAAAAACCAAAGTAATCTATTACTAATAATTTTTCTCAAGTTTTTTTTTGTTCTTTTTTTTGTTTGTTTGTTTTTTTTTTTTTTTTTACAATTATTTACAAAATTTTTTTTCTGACATGGGATTTTCTAGGGGATGGGATGGGGTGGGATAGGATAAAAGATAAATGAAAAATAAGTGAAAGATGAGTGAAAAGTGAAAAGTGAAAGATGATTGAAAGATGAGTGAAAAAGGGAATAAAGTGGGTAGGGATTAGAAAGATTAATTTACAATAAACAATAGACATCTCTTCCAAAATCAAATTGCAATATTATAATTCTTTATAGTGTCCAAGCACAATTTTCCGGTATCAACGTATGGAAATTCCGAAAAACCAAAAAAGCCATCATTTACCGCCACATTTTTATCTAATTGGCTAGTTAAATTTGTATCATAATAATAGAGTCCATTATTAATATAATTTCCTACCATCCAAGTATTTTGATGCGGTACTTGTACTTCTGTTGACATTTGTTGATAGGAATCAGAAATGAATGGAGGTATTGGAGATAATATGGCATCAAGGTTGTCTTCAAGCATACATTCATTACTTGGGATCGAACCAATTTCGGGGCTTTGGTAAGCATATTCTTCCCACTCAGCAGGCAACGATAATAAATTTTCATCAGTGGCCAATAAAGTATCATTCGTATCGTTTATGTTACCAATAATATCAACAAATATATTATTATTAGGTGAAGTCAACGCATGTTTATTAATGGTATCGTTAATGTTATCGTTAACATTAATTGTATCAAGATTCATATTATCATTAACGATATCATTAGTAGTATTTGGCAATACATTTTCAGGAGTGGAACCACGTCTGGAAGGAGATTGGACCTTTGAATTTTTTGATAATTTTTTGGGCCTTTTAGGATCTTTACGGGAAGTCATGCTATTATTATTGAAAGTAATAGTATTCCAACGTTCATTCTTTCTGCGACGAGATATGGAAGTTGATTTAATAATAGTATTACTATAGTTAAATGCTTCAATTGCAAGCCTTTTATATTCGGATTTCACGTTATCAGGTTCTTTGTACCATTGTTTAGAGGCAATAGAAGATATCGAGGACATTGGTAAATTATGACCTTCAGCACGTACAGCTTCAATTAATGCTTTACGATAAATTATGAAGGCATTAGGAGTTCTGGTCGGAACATTTCCATCGGGAAGCAAGGTTATCAAATCACGTGGATCAATTTTTGGAGGAAACGGAACATTTATAGCTATTTGATTGTCTAACGCCGAAGAGTCAGAGATAATTACAGAATCAGTAACCAAATTATTAGGCTGAATTATTTTAGGCATATTTAATTTCAACATATAAAATTTTGAAGAAACAATACTCTGCAACGAAAAACTCGAAAAGTGGGAACACACCCATTTTTATAAGAGTTCTAGAAGCATAGCAGAATGTTCCATAAATTCTTTTGTACTACATAAAATCACATTTCTCGTCATTGTTTGCATATCGTGTAATACGGAATTAATGAAGAACACTCGTACAGAAAAATACAGACATCATCAATGAAATGATCATGGCTATTTTTTGAGGGAACACAAACATCAAAAAAAACGCTTGAACATATATCACTAACGTATATAAATATCGAAACATTTGCTACTCTAGAATGAATTCGTTCGATTTACTGATATTCATCCACGAATTACATAAAATTTTTTTCGTTAAATTACATAAAGTTACTTGAAATTATTTGAAGTTATTTGAATTATTTGAAATTACATAAAAAAATCTAAAAAATCGTAAATTTCTATTAAAAATTCGTATAAAATCATATAAATATGTGATTACTATTTAAAAAATGTTATATAATAAATTATGTAATCATATGAAGAAAGCTTTACGGCACGAAAGTTGACTTGTTTCTTTTAGGAATGAAATAAAAGTTTGAAGTTTTTATAGAGGGGGTTTCTTAAAGTTTTCATACCAGTTTTCTAATATTTCAAGATGTAATTTGATGATAGCTTCTTAAACGGAATAAGTGATACAAGAATACAAGATCTAACTGGTTAGCTATTTCTATTTATACACATCTTGTTTATGTTTTGTGCATGTTTTATCTAAAAATAAAATAATAAATTCCTTTTTCTCCTGGTATTTTCAGTACGTAAAATACGTCAGTCCTATTTTTGTATCTATTGTTTTGTTAAAAAACGTGTATGATGTAATTTTTAATAATTGTTCTTTTTGATAAGATAAACATGTGCTTTTTACATTTTATAGGTTGAAAGTTTTATTTTCATACGTATGACAAATCTTCATAGTAATATTCCGGTGAGTATATACATACTATTGGTAAGTGCATATGTGCTCACTCACCTGAATATACCCTAATTTTATCCGTGCCCCAGTCATGTACTGTATGCCATGTAGGGGTTTTGGGGCACGGAAAAACATTCTGCCTTTTGAGCTGAGGCATGCCCTTCATGCTCTTACTGTGATCACAGAAAACCGTAGAATTTTAAAATTTTTTCTCGCTAAATTTTATTTCCAAAATCAGGTTACACAATTTGCATGTGATATTATGTGATATTGACCAATCATAACGATATTTGGCAAATTATCTTGTGAAAATAGATATATTTTATAAGGTATTTGACGAAGTTAACACTTCTTACTAACAAAAGTCTGTCAAAAAAAATTAGAACTTTTTTTTGAACTACGTAAATTTGAATCTACTCCTCAAATATAGAAAAAAAAAAAATTCTAACTTTCCCTGTGGGTATTTTTGACGAACGCAGTTAAGAATCATTTTACCTTAGAGCAAAACTTTTTGCTAAGTAAATTTAACTTTATTCACCAAGTTGTTCGAAATGCCATCTTTTATTTACCCTCAAATTTTTACGCAATACGAATAATTTTTTATTAATAGGTTTTTTTGTTATACGTTATGGCGCAGAAAATTGATTTGTTGCGCAAAAACGTTTAACGAAAAATCTTAATAAAGTTATTCGTATTGCGCAAAAATTTGAAAATAAGTAAAAGATAAATTTTCGAACAATTTTACTTAGTAAAACTTGATTTACTTAGAAAAAAGTCTAGTTTTATTGTAATATGTTCAATTCGTCATAATACTCAAATTCGTCAAAATACCAGCATTTACCTTAGGCGCATTAAAACACAGGATTAACACAGAATTATATATAAACTAACTTTATTGTTACAAAATTTCGAAGAATATGAAAAAACAGCATATTACATCACAGAATTTTACACAGAATCTAGTCCTAGTCGTAGCAGAAAATTATGCCCTTTCTAAACCATGTGACTAACATATACAGCTCACTCTCGTTATAATGAACTCTCGTTATAGTGAACTTCTTGTTATAGTGAACTCTTGTTATAGTGAACTCTCGTTATAGTGAACTTCTCGATATAGTGAAGAATTTTGAATTACGGAATTATTAAACTTCAACTCGATATAGTGAAGTACATATAGTATTCTCTCGATATAAGCCATAGTGAAGATTTATTTTTTTAGCCCGATGACTTCACTATAACGAGAGAATCTACATTTCTGCCTTTACCTAACCTTAAAACTACACTTTATATGCCACATGACAGAGGCATGCCAGGGTTGGTGATGGAGCTACGAATGGAGCTCTGAATGGAGTCAATGAATATTAGTTTTCTGAGCTCCATTCGCACAACTAGAGGTCGGAACCTGTTGTAAATTTTAAGGCCCGGATTGATTTGCGTTTAATATAAAACCGGTTATCGTTATTATTTAACGTTAATATCGATATCGATATTACTGTATTAAGTGGAATTTAAACCAAGTTGTATGATGTAATATGATATGATGTAATTGGTTGTTCACGTGAAATTTTAATTTTTCCAAACCGATCTTAAAATTCATTCATATCGATATTGATATCTAATGGTATTAAGATAGAACTTAATGAATGCTTAACCGCAGAGGTTAGTATTTAAAAAAAAATTTAACATAAAATTACATAAAATTAGAATTGTAAAAATTTGTTAAATTACTTTTCATCTCTTGCATTATTTTAAATCGGACATATAAAGTATCAAGTTAAAAGACTGAAAAATGCAGAGGAAGCAAAAAAAAGAAGGGAGAGTGGAAGCGATGTGGAAAGAGATAGATGAAATGAAAAAAAAATAATAATCCATAATGTGATTAATTTTTTAACTTTTACTAAAAACGCACCTATGGAATACATTATCTCAAAAACTAGCTAATCAATCGGTGTGGGGTGTTCTAGGTAAAAATGTTCTACGCCCCAAAAACCCCTAAATACTAACCCTAATGTGAAAAATTTTGCATTAAAAATTTTATATACAAAATTCATAACTTAAAAAAATCTATTAAACATAATAAAT